AATGCCGGTCTTCTTCACCTCTTGAGCGGATATTAAGGCATTGATTTTGCTCTCGAGGTCCTTCATTTTTTTGTCTTCGCCTGTATCTTTCCTCGGACAATTATGTGAAGAGTCGTTGGGACCACCACCAACGTTTTTGTTGTCGTGAGGGGTATCAGCATTGACATTTTCGTCCACCTCCGAGTCGCTATCTACATTGTTGGTAGTATTGCGACGACTGGATTCACCCCGCTGATTTGGGTCAGTTTGGAACTGCTAGGCATATAATTCCTTCATTCGCTGCATGTTCAACTCCATCTCCACTTTCATTTCAGCTCTAATATATTCTTTCTGCTTATTTAGAGCTTCCTGAAGCATTTGAAACAGCTGATCGGGATTGATTGTGAACGCCTCCCGAACTCGTCCAATGCTAGATACTGTGTTATCTGAAGCGACTGCGAAGAAAGTGTCCGGACGCTTCATCATCTGAGGATGACCCTCTCTGCATCCTCTGATAATCCCTACGTTTAATAGTTTCGGAGCGCAGCCGAGTTAGACGCTAGGATATCCCTGGAAAAGAATCTGGATTGGAACGTCGCGTGAACTTCCCTTTATCAGCCATGTTGATGGTAACTTCTTGGAGTTCGTCATCTTGGACGACTGATATTTTTTTGCGGAAATTCCTTAGTTTGTGCTTCGACGCTTCAATGGAAAGTCTTTCAAATACCGAGACCCTCTGCGGAGCGGTCTTGGAGCAACTACACTCTGATAATACTGTTCTGATAAGCCTCTCGCATGGACAATATGAGCTTGTCTCTCGGATAGTCATCTTTTGAGATTTCTTCACAGTTCACACCCCCAGTCTGATAGTACAACTCATCGACATGATGATCAGAGCAACCTATCGCTGGTTGGTGTGACTTCCCAGGTATAACGTCGTCTTTTGACTGACACGCTTTCTTTCGGGGAAGTAGGGTCTTATTGGCGTTCTCAGAAGTCGCATGTTTGGAACCACCCCTTGTGAGTGTAGATTCTCAACGGGCTCCTGGGCTTCGATACGTACCCCTAAGCGGACGGTTACAGAGGTTTTCCCAGATGGGGATGGCTTTGACTTGACAGGAGGACGTGTATGACCCCCAGTTTGAAGAGTTATTTGGGATTTATTCATCGGACCCAAACGTTCTTTAATCGGAGCTTTGCCTCGATCCTTGTGCACGGGACTAAGGCGATCCACCATCATTATCTTGAATCTGGACAGATCAACACTGTCATGGGGCTTCACCGAAGGTACGGGAGAGACCGGAGCAGGAGCGGAGGCCGACGAAAGCGAGGAAGCATCCGCGGGAGCAGGGGTTGGCGCGAGACAGGGTTCTCTGTCTCGGCCAGGTGCGAGACAGGATTCTTTGTCTTGGCTAGGCGCGAGACAGGATATCCTGTCTCAGGTTGCGAGACAGGGTCTTTCGTCTTGCGCAACAGGAACTTCCGTCTTCTTCACATTTGATTTTCGTGTGACCTTAGACTTTGGCATCTAGACTTTGCGTAGTTTTGGTGGTTCTTTGGCCACCTCCTCTCACTGTAGTTCTTACGTCTTTTGCACAAGAATACGTACGTACGCAAGAAGTGCACGACGCTTCTGGATACGTTCCTCGAGAGTCGAATGAATTCTTTGGACACGGACTCATTCGTCGGTTGATGGCTTGGAGGAAACACTAATCTCCTGTCGTTGAGACGGTTGTGTGACTTGACGCCTCCTTGACTCCAAATTCACGTGATAACAGATTTCGTTAACCTGCTCCAATGCTTTGGCGAATTGACGTGCGAGACGTTGGCGTTGTCTCTGACGAGCCCTCTTCGTCAGAGTTGATGCAACTTGATCGATCAACTCCTTGACTGGAGGGGAGTTATCACGAGCAGAGCTTCCGACTTGTTGGATCGTTGAAGAGATGTTGCGATGGAGAGCCTCAACAACAATTGGGCGAGAATCATCACTCTGGGCCTTCTTCAGATCTAAAGACCAACGAACCTTTTACGAAGAAGAGATATTTCTGCACTTGCGAGGGGAGGAGGATCCAGAGGAGGATGAGAGGTACTCCTCAAACTTCTGTTGGTCGAACTCATACACGACTTCTGTATTAACCGGGATCTTAATCTTCGGTTGCGATACGACAGCCTCGGCAAAAAGGCTGTTGGCTCTCACTGTGATCGTCAGTGTGTTTGCGTCGCAAATCAGTTTTATTATTGAACCCATTACAACATTTATCGTTTACACAGATTTAAAGGAGTTAGTCTTTTTATAAGACTTCTCACTACAACGAAAACAAAAAGAGATCTCCTAGAAACATATTCAAAGATAGTTTATTGATCGCTGCTTGTGTGGGATCTTTGCTTGTGTCAGGGACGCGTTAGCCCGTGGACCACCGATTCATAGATTCGGATTAATCGTGAAGAAGGCTCAGTGTTCTTATTTGGTTTTAGAAATAAGAACAAAAGTAAATAACCTCAGCAATGTGAGATTAATACTCTTCTCAAGTTCAAAATAAGGTTTGATCTCAAGGGAAGGGGTGAAGGCCTGCAGATCTCTTAAAATCTTTCTCTTTATGCTGAAATTCACCAAGATCTCCCCTCTCTCTCTCTCTCTCTGAGATTCGTGGCTCTCTGCTCTAGAATTCGTCAGCACTTCGCCAAAAGATCAGATCTCCCGATTCCCCCGTCCAACCCTCGTCCATAAGGATGCTAGGGGGTATTTATAGGTTTCGGATGTCGTGTTTGTAGATAAGAATCTATGATTTGGATGTATCTTCAGTTGGTAACAACTTTCCCGTATTTAGAGATGTTCCCAAAGTAGTTAAGAAGCCAGTAGATCGCACGAATCATGAGAAATCATCGAAAAACGCATCAGGAGGCATTACTATGCGAGACACCTAATGTGTCTCGGGGGCGAGGTTTGTGTCTCGCACATGAGTGCGAGACACATGTTGTGTCTCGCAGGTGAGACACTGATGCGTGTCTCGTTCCGCGTTTGGTTGATTTGCGCGTTCCGTCGCTTCTTTGTTCCGTCTTTTCGCGCGTTCCTTTGCTTCCTTTTGGCATCAGATGATCTTCTTTGACTCAGATGATTACGTTAATCGTATCCTCTTCGTCTTGAGTTGTATTCGGAAACCTATAGGTAAATTTTTACTCCTACATGTGCGTGTGTGTGCATGCGTGTGCGCGCGCACGTGCGCGCGCTCATGCCCGTGCGGGTGCGTGCGTGCGCGTGTGCGCGCGCATGCGGGTGCGGGTGCGTGCGCGCGCCTGTGTGCGTGTGTGTATGTATGTATATATATACATACATACACACACGCACATGCATGCATGCATACATACATACATACATACATGTATACATATATTCTTCAGTCGCGTGTCAAAGAAATGGAAAACAAATACAAGTAGAAGAGGGTATTTTAAATATATTGTGTTGTATTTGAGATAAGGATTTCCAGGGTATATTCTATGTTACATGGATTCTTCTATTTGGAAGCTGTACGTGTAGCTGACACGTATCTGCACCCGTACCTAAACTGCTTGGACATTTCTTGGATATATGCATTCGTGTTTTCAAGCGTATACTACATGTTTTAATTTAAAACACTCCTCGTTTGGGTGTATATTCTACACTTCACATCTATTTCTAATATATTGATCTCATATAAATGAAAAAACAATATTCATCTTATGTAAATTATTAATTTTAATACATATAAATATACATAAAATACATATTTATAATTGTGTCCCTGTACTGTTCCTTTTGCAAATTTGACGTGTCCCGTACCCGTACCCATACCCATGCAACTTAGGGTATATCTGAAAACCCATAATTAATTAGGTGATGGTCTTATGGACACTCTATGGACTTCTGTGTTTGCTTTATTGGAGCTCTGTCAAGTTCATGACTCAAAAACGAGATAGACAAGATAATGAAAGGACAGAAAATTTGAAGGATATGCATCCAAATTACAACTCTATGACATATTGGGAGGGAGATATGCCAAGGAGGAAGGGGATAACAACTTAATGTTGTATATTTCCTTATCCACTACAAACTTTAATCATTCTTCCCTTCTATCACTTACACAATTTCATAATTATGAATGATTGAATCTAGCACGTTTACAAAATGTGTACTATCTGTTGAAAATGTGTGTTTCATCATGTGTAGCTTTGAGGATCATTCATGTTCGTCTATCTTCTCTTGGCTTTGACCCATCCATCATATTGCTATTCACTGTTTGTTTGGTCGTAGTATATACTATTGATAGAGTTATTATTTGTTGGCATCATACAGGTTGTCTTCAACAAAAAGAAAGAATTCCAATGGAATAAGATTTTGATGTTTCTGAGAGTAGGCTCTTCGAGGTAACCCATGCAAGCTATATTACCTTAAGCTAGCAAAGGTTTTACAAGTTTTGTCTCCCTTCGCTCACTATAGACTACATGGTAGTTTAGAACCTAAGCGGCATATACGATGATTCAACCACCTTATCCTGAATGCATGTTGCAAGGTTTATTTTCCAATTTTAATAATGCAGACTATTAAATGAATCTGATCTCTTGCATGAGGACAAATTTACATCTAAGCTTTAACTTATATCGTCCCATCTCATACATTTTAGATGTTTTCCTATCACAAGGCTTATCCCATTTTCATCAATCCTGATCGGTAATCTCAGTTTGGAATGTCATTCTGTTCCATTCTTGATCTTGTATTGGCCTCGGGCATGCAATTCCTGTAGCAGATCTAGTGATACTGTTTCTATATGATTTTCTGTAATACTTCATAACTGTTATCCTATTCTTTAGTTTTGATCTCACGGGTTACGAAGTTCTGATCTTGATATGGTGGATGCAGATTAGGCACACATGGTGTGAATATTTCTAGTGTGAATAAATCTTCTGGGCGCCGAAAATATGCAGAAGGGGATGTGTTTGAGGTAGTAAACGTAGTTTTGAGGCTTCTGTCATCAAAGAATGGTGTTGTATTAAGAAGACTACTTATGACGGCGGTATGGCCCAATTTGATGACGTATAAACTTCATGTTTAAGTCTATTACAGTAATATATTTATGTTGTGTTGCTTTCCTCTTTGTTGTTATTTAGTTTCTACTACTGCGCAGGTAACCTGAGAACCAACATGGCTCGGACAGGTCAACAACTGGCCTTGAAAGGTTTTAGGCAGAGACCACACTCATACTTGCTTTGGCTAAGTAAATTGACACCACCTTTAGAGGGTTCACAAGTTGATGTCAGGGTGATACCTGGTCATATTTATTGTGGTGAACTACTTTCTAGATCTTTCTTGACCTTTAGTCTGGTTTCATGGCTGATGTCATTTTGGCTGGGAAAAGCGTTGGTTAATGATGATGACGAAGATAATCAAAGTCACCTCATTTAATGAATAAATAGACCAGTACGTAGGGGTAAAAAGACCAACTTTCTATGCCTATCCCAGCTATCTTGGCAGCCTTTGAACCTTGAAGTTATTCCTTTTGATGAATGCTTCATTTTATTGCCTTAATGTCTATGCTATTTAACGGAGAAGCTTGAATACGCAGAGATGGAACTATTTAATGATAAGCTGTAAATAGTATTTGTGCTCCATTGTTGGGAGCATGTTTTGTGTTTATGTGTGCCCGTCATAGACAGGGGATCTTCATGTATGCAGCTCTAAAATTATCTTATTAGATGCACTGCACAGAAAATCACCACAGACTAGAAGGGACCTTAGCCAGGAAACAAATTTTCTGTGAACCCTATTTGATATGAGGTAAGAACAACATGCAGTCAATTTCTTACTTTGATGCCATGGATTCCTTCCTTATTTTGCACAATGTTGCGAGCATCTATGGATAACGGTGAACTTGGATATGGTGGATGAAGTAACAGATGATGAAAAGTTCTTACATATGAGATTTTGTTCAGGTTATAGAAGCTTTAGTCTTAAAGTTTGAGAAGGGTGTGGA